AGCTAGAGAGACATGCTGCCTGTCTCACAATGCTGAAAACAGGATCATTTAAACAGAGACAAAGAGCATTATTTTGCAAATAGAAGGTATTTCTATATATAGAAATGCTGGTATAGGTACTGGCTACTTGCTAGATGTTTTGTCACCAGTTGCTAGCACAGCTTCCTGCAGCCTCAGCTAACTTCTGTTTTGGGGAAGTAGAAGAGCTTTCCCATTTATTTTCTTTGCTCCCACAGCAACCAACCAAGTCCTTTGATATTAATCAATTGATATTCAAAAAATGTCAACCTGATCTTCTAAAAACTGTGGGCCCGAAAAGAATAATTTTCCTAACGGATTTTCTAGTTTATCTGAATTTGTTGAGCTCTTGGCTTATCAGATTTGTGCATTATTATTTCCATTTTCAGTGCACCCTTTCAGGCAAAGCAAGAACAATATCACATGCTTTGAATATTATGTCAAAATTAAATCTTTGGTCTTCTCATAATCTTACTTAGAACCACTTCAGTGTGTGTGTGTGTGTGTGTGCGTGCGTGCGTGCATGCATGCATGCACATGCACCTTTGAGTCATTGTTGACTCCTGGTAATGACCTGGACAAATCTCTGCAGGGTTTTTTGGCAAAATTTTAGAAGTGGTTTGCCATTGCCTTCTTCCTAGAGCTGAGAGATAATGAGTGGCTCAAGGTCACCCAGCTGGCTTTGTGCTTAAGTCAAGTCTAGAACTCACATTTTCCCAATTGCTAGCTTGATGCCCTCACCATTACATCAAACTGGTTTTTTTCTCTAGTTTAGCGCCTTGACCATTATGAATGATAATATACATATTATCAAAGAATGCAATAGTTCTTCAAGAAGTTCAAGAAGCATTTTGCTAGGGAAACTTGTAGAACAACCTTCTCAAAAACTTGAGAGTTCTTGGAGGGAGCAAGCCAAATTTCTAATTTCTGAAGGAGAAATTTAATCATCTTCAATGCCATATCAGGAAGACCGTTTGGGAGGTAATTTTATCTCTTACAACTATATATGTTTTAGGGATTAGGGAAGAGGGATAATAGTTGCAGTCAACCAACCATTAGGTAGTGTGTAATAAATCAATGCGAGTAAAAGTCCTAGCAAGGACAGAATGGTACCGAATAATATATCTATAATAAAATCATGAAAACTTTATGCCAGATTTTTTTTCTATTGAGGTTATGGTTTACAACTGAATTATGTGTCACCTTTCAAAAAGAAGGAATAAACCATCAGCTACTTCATGTACTGTATTCATTTAGTTGCAGATTAATGCTTCCTTCTCCTTTATATTTTCTAGATTGTTGCACAGTAATAACATGTGTTTACTCAAATAAGATTCTGGGGAGCAGACTAATATATAGGAAAATATAATATGAATTTTCTTCAGTAGTTCCAGAATCTACATTTAATATCTTTGGGTAGAATTGCTTTGTGTTGTTATTTTTTATTATTTTTCATTTATTTAATGAAAAACTCTACCTTTCTCCTTTGCCATTTAATCAAGGATACTAACTTTTTTTTTTCAAAACAGAATATAGACATGAAAAACTAAAATAAAAATAACACTAAAATGGACAAGTAATTTAATAGTAAAAAGTTTTGGGGAATTACAAGTGTTTTTGTAGATTTTTTAAAGTAGTAAAGAATAGAGCTGAGATGCAAATAGTTAGGGAATGTGTTTAGCGTAAACAGATGTTTTGACTTCAGCAGCGTGTGTCATATAGGAGGCAGACTCTTCAACATGAAAAAAAGGTTTCAGTTTTCAGGAGTCCATCTCAGCTTGCCAGCAGAAACAACAGTGTGAACAATATCTTTATGTGAGCAGTAGTATGACAGAACCTCTTCGTATCCATTTCTGTTTGTGCCTGCATAATCTCTTAATAGGACTACTGTACTTCCACATAGATAGCGTTAGAGAGGGAAAATTCTGAACTCATTGCTACCATCTAGTGATCATCCAGATTTTAGCAGCCCAGATTTGCTAATCTTAAATAGTGGAGATAGAGCAGGCAGTGTGAGAAGCAAGGGTAGAAAAGATATGAGTTAATCAATGTTTTTTAAACAACTATCGAGAAATAATATGGGAAACGCAGTTCTAGGGCAGGTGGTCATTGTCGGGGGCAAAACAAAGATTGATCCTGCAATAAACAATATCCATGCACAGGTAAGCAGCCAGATAGTACAACCCATTTTCTCTCCAATACTGATCTCCAGGATCAGGTGATGTTCTTTTCCTTTCATTTAACTGGTGATAATATTAAACATCCATAGCCATCCTCCAGATAAAGTCCCCCAATATCTTATATTTTAGCATACAACTTTTGAATCAGAATGCTTAATTGCTAAAAGACGTTTCCTTGATTTAAAAGCACTGATTTCTAAATTTAAAACAGTGTTACTTAATTTTGATATAGGACTTTGCACTGTATGGGCATTTCATGTTGACTTTTAAAATGCTTCATTATAGAGATAATATTTTAGTATCATATTGTGATATAATTACCACCAAGGTTAGTTATTATTGTAAATTGAAAGATGGTATAAATGAAATATAGCTCTATAGTCTTTTGATTGATTAAAATGATTCAAATGGGTACAGATTTTTAATTAGATAATACACAGTCTTATAATGTAATTGCCCAGATACAACGCTAATAACTCAGCCTAAAAAAGAAAATTCGCATTCAAAAGGCACTTCTGTGAAGATCTGAACTGCAACCATGAAACATATATTTTGTATGCATTGTCTATTAACATACCGTAGTTTTTCTTTTGGCAATGTGCATATTTAATCTATGTTGTTCTTGGCATGTATTAGAAAAAATGTTTAGATGGGGTGTATTGTTTACATCTATCTGAAATCCCTCTGAAAGCCTACTGATTAAAACAAAATTGCTGATGTAAATCTAAGGGTTGTTTTTCCACTTTAGCAAGTAATTTTCATGGTTTTATAAACCATCAGTTTGTTTTCAAAATACATTGCAGTTGATTTGTTCATCAAAAACACCAGTAGTATTTTTTGCTTGATGTCATGAGACAATTTCTCACGGAACTGTTTAACTTAATTTGTCATAGGCCTAAATGTTTAACACTATTGTCGATATGAATTATTTGATAGATACATTGATAAGGTTATGCCTATGTTTATAAGAATATATAGATAATGACATCAAAATACTGTAATTTAGTGTCATAAGCATGATACTCTGATTCAAATTTTGTATACTTCCAGTGAAATATAATTGGATTTGTTCTCACATTTGGGTGGAACTTTAGAAATGTATATATTTTTTATTTTAACAGAAAGCCTGCTTATTTATTCCTTCATTCAATCTACTTGTATACCATCAATTCATTTACAGATTTGTGATGGTTTACCAAACAATCAACAAAAAAAAATCCATAAAGCAAGTTAAGCATTCTATACTATAATGTAGTTATCTGTATTTGTGATCTCAATAATTTATCATTTACAATTTTGAAATAACAAGGAACTACTTGAAGTTATCTTCTTAGTCTAAGTCAATTTTAAGAAGCCATTATGATACAAAGGTTTATATTATCAGGAAAGTGAGGAGGAATATTAAGTACAGAGTGAGAGGCACACAGTTATCTCAGAACTAGATAGTTATGTCCACCAGGGTGATATTTAGGATATTTATATTTAGAACGTCACATTTCTCCCAAATGGTGAATGTCGGAAGTGTCAGAGCAATTCTCCAGGATTCCCAACCAGTCTGTTTACTTAATACATGAATCCAATATATGTAGACACCATAGAGAGGGAACACAAAGCTAGGAAAGGCTGCTATATATAGAAAAAAATGAATAAAGGGTTTCACTTTGCAGTGTTGTACAATCTTAGCGGGATAGAATCAATGTTCATGTTCCAGCTGAACATTTTGAACATGAGGCTCATTTGTTTTATTTAAGTCATTTAAGTGGAAGGTTTTGCTTGGATTGGGGTGGGGTGGGGGGTTATAGGCATGTTATGAATAGAGCTGTATAACTAGGAGCAACATAACTTGCATATTTCCCCTTAAATGACTTCTGCTTTTAGGTGTCTCCATTGCTTCCTGCTTAACAAGAGCTGGAAAATCCATGATCTATATTCTGTATATAGTCAACCCCAGTCTTTGTAATCCTTTAATACTTTCATTAAAAAAATAAGAGAAGAAAATAGATATGTTAAGCCTCTACTAAACTTCACATTCCTATTTTCTTTTGTTAAACAACTCCAAGGATACATTCCCTCTGTGGCTCCCAGATAGCAATGGCAATAGCACTTAGACTTATATACAGCTTCATAGTGCTTTTACAGGCATATTGTCTCCAACAATCTGGGTTCTCATTTTACCGATCTTGGAAGGATGGAAGACTGAGTCAATCTTGAGCCGGTGAGATTTGAACTGCTGAACTGCAGCTAGCAGTCAGCTGAAGTAGCCTGCAGTGCTGCACTCTAACCACTGCGCCACCTTGCAAAAAAGCTGCCCACATTTTGCTTTAAAGAACTGAAATAAAGCTAAATTAAACTAAATAGAGGAGAAAAACAGCTTCCCCTGTGCCTAAAGCATTAAGATTGCTGCTGGCAAGTCTCTCTGCCCCCATCCCCCTTACTTCTGTTTGAAAACACACTACTTGATCTCTGCCAAAGAAGTGAATAGAGACCACTTCTATCCTTGGCAAAAATGAAAATAGCGATTCCTTGTCTGATTAGACACTTCCTGCCTAATCATGGGAGATAAAATCTTTTTTTTTTTGTCCCACACTTCATGGAAATGAAGCAGTGGTGATTCCTCTTCCTTCCCTAAGGCCAAATCTTGTTCCAAGGAACAAGATCTTTCCATTTTTCCTGCCTTTCTTGAGGTAGCATTGATACTAAGAAATATTCTACTAAAATGGCCCTCAAAGAAAATTGTCTTTGTCTAACAGCAAAGTTCTCCTTATTTTTTGAGCATATGGAGCAGGACAAAGCACACTGAGATATATATCCAAAGGAATAATATTATTACGGTTTGATTACATCCTTAATATGATTTTCTTTGTACGGCAGAAAGGGCTGAAGACTGAAGTAGCTAGCAGTTTCTTAGATAAACTTTGATAATGTTCAGTCAAATGTTTCAAAATCTGTAGGATATATCATCAGTTTGGTTGACTTGAGAAGATAAGGTTTTCCTTTCTGAGGCTTCCAATACAGTCCTCGTTTCTTCCTCTCTAGTTTTCCTTTTGAGCTTGACCTGACATATCTTCCATTCAGGTTTGTTTCTTCACATACATTGTACCACCAGCCACCTGAAGGTGATAATAGAAACATCATTGAATTGATATACCAATATATTAACCACATGGTTAATAAAGAAAACCTTTTAAGATAACTAGAAGGTTCTTCCTGTAGGCCTGGGATTCCCACAAATGTCCAGCTTTAATAGTAGTTTATTTAACGTGGGTTGGGGGTTACAATTCTCATAGTCCCAATTAATTTGGCCTTTGGTCATAATGGTGGCAATGATGACAACAACTGTATTTGAAGAAAACCTTTTCTAACCAGGTTATCTGGAGACAATTACATGTTCAGGAGAACTTCAGGATAATGCTTTCTATGCTGATAGAGAATGTAACGTAATTTTAAAAATAATTGGATATTTTTTAAAAATTATCTCAATCTGTGGAAAGCTATTATGTGAAACAGAGGATATAACATTGGGTTGTCTATTATGTGCTAGATTTTTTGCATGCAATACACTTTTTTTTTAACTGAAGGGACATTTAGTCTTCTTTCATATATACTCTTTTTTTTTTTCCCCTTCATTTGCTTCTAGTCAGTCTCCCTCCCTCCCTCCCTCCCTCCCTCCCTCTCTCTCTCTCTCTCTCTCTCTCTCTTTCTTTCTTTCTTTCTCTCTTTTTCTTCCTTCCTTCCTTTCTCTTTTATAAAACTATATTATTAGTGTTTTATTCTTAGCATAGTACATTTATGAAAATCTTACCCTCTGCCACTTTTTTCCCAGATTATAAGAAAACTTAAAACACTGGCATATACAGAAAATATCTACCTGAGTCACTTTCTGTGCAGTTAAGCTTTCTTTCAGTGCTGTTGCTATGATCTTTAGTAGAAAATTTAATTTCTTTCTGTTCAGGTAGAGCATTTGGAATATTCCCAGTAATCCTAGAGAGAAAGAGCGCATAATCTCTGTCTGGACCTTCCATTTTGAATGTATACTCAATATAACGTTTGTTAGCTCTCCAGTCTTCAAGCTCAATACGCAGAATGTAGTCAGTTTGATCTACAATGGAATAGATCTTTTGAAGGCCCAGCCAAAATTCTCCTGAAAATACAAGTGAACTTGAGAAGTAAACCTGATTGAACAACCATGTTTAACAGAAAAACACTTCTTAACAAAATAACACTTTTGAACAGAATAGCTGCATGAGTCTGCTACAGCAAGGACAACAGTTTTGCAATTTTTAAAAAAGTAAAAAAGGAATTTCACTGAATGAAGTTATCCTTCATTAATTTATTGTTACTTTATGTGGCAAACTGGCTATTAAAATTATAACGTATGGCTTTGATCTTGCTCATGTAAGCATTGCAGACCTTTCTAATTTGAAATTTGTTCTTGATGATTCAGGTTCCAGAATCTTTTTCCTTATTTCTGTTCTATATTATTTCCAGGAAAAAAAAGTGTTAAACCCTAACATTCTATTTCTTTCTCACTGAAAATCTTAGAAAGTAACTGAACAAATTGCATGGATGCCTCTTTCAGAAATGTTTGTAGCATGTGCATTAATAGAATCCATTCAAATCTACATTTATGACTAACTAGATCTGGACTTGTTTAAATCAAATCTATTTAAATGTGCTTGTAATAATTTATATGACTGCTGCCCTATGCTTAGGAATTTAAATAGACAAGGTTGAAGGGAACGAAAAAAGTAGACAATTCTGAGACCAACCACTTAGACCAAATAAATAATCTCATTTACCAATGACCAGGGTTTTCTCCCCCTTTCAAAAGCTATAGTCAACAAACACATAAATGTTACTTTGAGTAAACTGGAAAATATATTTACCATCAAGATTACCAAATCCATCTATATAGCTCTCCCAAGTTTGATTGAAATCTACTGATCCATCGGATCTCTTCTGAATAATTGTCCATGGGTTTTCTGTGGATGAAGATGATAAATTATTAATACAACCATTTGATTGTTTTAATCATTTTAGAGTTTACAAATTATATATTATATCTCGGTATGAATGCTGTACATCAGATCGTATGCAGAAGAGAACTGGAGTACACTTTAACGAAAAAGAAATTATTTGCACAACATTGACTACTTTGCATTTCTGCATGAACTTCACTCTATCCAATTTAGTCTCTATTCAGAGACAATTATAATATGCATTTGTCTAACCCAATTAGACAATGACTTAATGCTTTACATATTTTCTAAAATAAACAACAACCAACTGTAGTTAAAAATCCAAATACTTCATTGCTACCTATTACTTGATTAAAGTTGCATTCTCAGCAAATAAGAGTGGCGACAGCAAGTTTGCTTAATGAAGAAATATATATAAGTCAGCACTTTACAGAAGGTAAGAATTAGTTTTTTAAAAAAGAAGACTGCTAATGTAACGGGCCATACCTCCTTCCATTTCACAATAAACATTAAATGCCTTGGATCCATTGGGCTTAATAGAATAAATCCCATTAGATCTTTCCCCTGAGTTGTAAATCCAAGTACAATCAGTAGCATTACCTAAAAGAAACAGAAATTTAGGGAAATCTATGCAATTTTTCAGAATGTATATTACTTTTTTGAGCAGTCATTTAAACAAAATTTGAAACAATTTAAGATTTTTTTATTTGGAAATAAATATAGGCTTATGAAAATAACATTCACATATATTCTTGAGATAGAAATTTCAAAGGTGGAAGGGATGGAAGAATATCAGTCTTGGGTGGAATATTTGTATCCATTCTTTTTAACAGCAGGTTTGGTTAATTAGTTCTTTATTAAAGTCACTGACCAAAATTCTGCAAATTAACAAAGTAAATAAACAATTTTTTTCCAGTTAATAAAATCCAAGCATAAAATTTTAACAAGGTCATCAAGGTAAGCAACATGTGTTGAGTTTTACATAGTATAAAATTTGCTACATTTAAGGAAATTGAATCATACTGTTCTGACAGAATTATCTGTACCTAAAATAAATCAGAATTATCTGGCTTCTTTGTCAGATAAGGGAGTTATGAAATAGGTTCTTGCATCCTTATATAGAGGGAACAATATAACAGAATATGGGCAATATATTCTGTGGAGTATTCTCCACAAGGGTACAGTCTTACCTTGTCCATGGGAACAATTATTAGGAAATATTACACATGCTAATATTAGCTCTCTTTGGAGTTTGGGAACAGTTACTTGTCCTCATTGTATGCTCCTTCAGTGACCATTCAAAGGTATGACAGCATTGAAAAATGAGATTTACAAGTAGTCCTCAAACTTGCAGTCATTGCAACATCCTCACAGTCATTCACATGGTCCTAATTTGGAAATTTGGTAATCAGCATGGGTTCACTATAGTCACAGTGTCTCATGGTCATCATTTGTGACCTTCTCCACCGGCTTCCAACAAGCAAAGTAAATGGGGAAGCTGACAGGAAGTTGCATGTCGTAACCACATAACACTGCACTTAATTTCCCACAGTGAGTTGCTTAATGACCGCAGTGAAAGGCTTAAGTTGGATGCAGTCATGTGATACATAGCAGTGATTAAAAAATAATAATTACAAGCTATTTTGATAAAAATAGCAGCAGGAAATCGCAGGATGACTATTCTAAGGCAAAGAGAATGTTTCCCCCCCACTAACTTCCCAAAGGTTTTAGTGAAGAAGTGGAACAGGTCTGTCTGATAACATGAAGCAGATCAAGGTTCTCTGGAAGGAGTCCAGAGAAGGAGTCCTCTGAAGATGAGTTTAGTGGATTTTCAGTTTGATATGGAATAGACCCGGATTCTCCAACCTAGGTCACTTAAAGATTTGTAGACTTCAACTCTTCTGGGAATTGAAGTCCACAAGTCTTAAAGTGGCCAGGGTTGGAGACCCCTGGAATAGACAGCCTTTCAAATATCCTGACTCCAAGGTATTCCTATTTGTGGTCAAAGCCATGGTTTTCCGGTTTTAACATGTGGCTAAAAACTATATTGGAAAGTCTGGATTAATTAAAACTGATGCCTTTGAATTATGGTGCTGGAGAAAATGGTTGAAAATGCCTCTTTGTAAGAAGAACAAATAATTCAGTTCTAGATGAAGTGAAACCAGATTGCTTTCTGGAAGCCCTAAAAGAGCTAAACCTTCAGTATTTTGGTCACATAATATGAAGATAAAGAGTCATTGAAGAAAATCCAGATTACTCGTAAAAATCAAAGGCATTTGAAAAGGAACCAGTGAGAAGATAATGTGCCACTGTAATAGTAGTACAAGCTTTAAAAAAATCTGAAGAAGCCATTATCCACAGACAAAATAATGTTCATCAAGTCATGAATAGAAAACAACAAACCATTCAGGACTTTAAAGATCTTTGCCAGAACTTTGAATTGTACCCAGAAAATAGCTAGAAGCTGGTATTGCTGTTTCAATAAGAGAATCATGGAAGATTGAATAGAATGCCTTGTTTTGGAGGAAAGGACTAAAGAACACTTAATCTTATTTCAGGAGATAGGCAAGAAGCAACATTTTATTTCAGATATCACCTTAATTTTTAAATAAATGCTTTTTAGTGTTGTTGGAAGAATAATAAGCATAATCAATCAAATCTGTTTCTTACATACATACTATTGCTATCAAAGCATACACCAGAATGGTATTCTAAAACAGTGTTGTATTCCAAACCCTAGAATTTCTTTAAAAAAATCTGTAAGCACATTTACCTCTAGAATTGCTATTTTTAGATGTTTTTTTCAGTTTAGGATGTCTGTCATCTTCCTTCACAGAAAATAATTCCAAGTCCTCTTGAAAATTGGGGCTGTTTATCTGAAAATAGAAAGAAATTACTTCTACATCTGTACTTCATTAGTAAGGCAGGTTATCTGTACACAGAACAGTTTGAAGTTCAAATTATGAACGCACTAGGGTTGGACTGGGGAGGGTCCCATAAGAAGGGACCCTCCCACATGAAGATAAGAGTCCCTGTATCTTCATATGCCATGAAAAAATTTGGGGACAAAAATTCTTGCATATGTCTGTTCTGACCACCTATGTTACATACAGAGTTGACATATAAAACTATGAAGCTACATGCTTGAATGATGAAGGCTATGTCTTCTGCCAAAGAAAAGTTACCACAAAAAAAAAAAACACCATGGAAAAAATTATCTTTGACTAGAGACAGCAGTATCAACCATGTCATGTGAAGAAGTTAAACAGTCATTTTAGGGCAGAAAAAATCTGAAGAAAACTAACTCTGTTCCCATCTAGTAGTTGTTCAAATATTTGCAGCCCAAATCTGGTAGATTAAGATAGCTTCCTTCAACCAATACAATGAGCAATAAATTCTTTCAACTTTCAACTCTAGACTTTTTTGCATGGATGGTATTCATACACATGCTAATCCATAAACCATAATTTACCTAGACAATGACTGAATTCACATAATTTGTTGACCAAACAAACCGAATTATAACTTACATATGTATGAACCCAGTGATTGAATCCTCTTTGAACCCAGTCATTGAACCCTCCTCACACAAAATGAAATCTGCAATCCTAAACATACCTTCTGGTGAAGCTCGTTTGAACACAATAAGACTTAAACATGCATAAGAATCTTTTGCATTCTCACATTAAATATGTGTATATGTATAGTTAGAGTTCTCAACCCTGGCTCCCTAAATAGTTGTACCTTGGCTTTGGCTGTTGGTAAACTTAATGTATAAAAACTTTCTGGAAGCTGCAGTTTTCTTTCCTTTTTATAAATCATCTAATCCATTGAAATTGCCCTAGATTAGAGATGGCCATTAATCTTCCAACAATTTTACCTTTTCCTCCAGGTCCTGTATTTGCCCTTGCTGTTTTGTGAGCTGAGCATGTTGCAGTTGAACAATTTTGAGAAGGTGTTTGAGGTGGCCATCTTGCTGTTCAACAAAATTCTATAGGGAAAGCAAAAAAACAATAGCTTAGACCTAAAGGATCATAAACTGAAGTATAAAATGTTTCTATATTACTTTTTGCAGTAGTGTATGCAGCAGAGATGTTCTTTTGTCAAATCAGAAGTGCTTCTCCGAGATTGCCTTATGTTTAATAAATATTAGGCAGTCACAATCCATTTAGAAATCCTTATATCAGGTGTCTCAAAAATCCATTAAATATATCCATCATTGGGGCCATGTTTAAAAATACACATTGGACTTCCATTTCTCCTATTAAGTGTTTCCACTCATTTCTACCAAAATCAATGTACTTTTTTCACATTATAACCTTACAATGGGTGAATAGTTACTAAATTTGTTTATACTTGTAATGAAGGTTGGAACTCGCTTCTTTATATATTTCCTTTCTTTTTCATTATTGCTTTCTTTTCATTTCCTTGTTTCTCTTTTTTCCTGCACTTATTTCTTTCTTTTCTTTTTCTTTTTCTCTATTCTCTTTCTCTAAGTTCAACTTGTATTAATTATTACTGTTGTGACTAAAATTAATAAAAATTACATTCAATACATAATAAAATGGTTTTCTCTATTTGGCTATTCCAGGCACACTGAATTAAAATTTCTATCATTTATTGGCCAGTATGTCTTAAGTCATCTCAACACATGTTGAAAAGAATCATATCTGATATATAGGGAAGGCACCAAGTTTAAGAAATTGGCTTATATCGTGTTTCTCCGAAAATAAGACCCTGTCTTACATTTTTTTTGAACCCCGAAATAAGTGCTTGGCCTTATTTTCGGGAAGGTCTTATTTTTGGGGGGCACATGGAGTAAGATGGGGCTCCCCTTGCCGTCTTACCTGATTTCCTGCTCTGCGTTTAAATATTTTTGAGGCGGGCTTATTTTTTGGGGGGCAGACTTATTTTAGTGCATGCGCTCAAAAGCCGATTAGGCTTATTATCAGGGGATGTCTTATTTTCAGGGAAACAGGGTACTAGCATAGCAAGCTTTTCCTAGAATGCAGTCTTCTGAAGTTTATGGATGAAAAACAAGGATAGTATGTGTTTGTTTGATTGATAGATTATGTGTCGTCAAATTGTTGTCAGTTAGTGATCACTTAGGTAACTCTCTTCAGAATCATCAGTCCCCAGCTGCCCCTTCAAGCCTTCAAATAACATTATCCATTATCTCTGTAATCAAGTCTATTTTATTGCTGTTCATTCTTGTCTCTTTCCTTCCCCCTTTCCTAGTACTGTAGTCTTCTCAAGAAAGCTAATGTTCCAAGACACGATACTTTGAACCTGATCATCTTCCATTCCATATTGGACTGCAATGTGCAGTGGATAATTCTAAGCATTCTGAAGCACGTAAAATATATTGTGTGATAGTGTGCACATTCTCCTAAGTCTCCTTTTGACTGACCTCTTTCTAATCTTACCATACCAATTTGAGGCAGAAACCTCCTTCTGAGTTTAGAGATCTTTTGGAAGATTTGTATTTGTGCCCATTATGTTTAAAGTTGTTATCATAATATTGCTTCTTGTATCTTCTAATAATTTGTGGACAGTTTCTTCTTGAAATTTTTTCTTCCTTGACTTTTCTCTCTCTTTTCTTGCCACCATTTGCTTTCTTCTGATTCTCGGCCTTGGCAATTTCTTTTCAAATTCCTCCTTAAAAACTTACTTTGATTAGATTCCTTATTCTTCTGGTTCTCTCTCAATGAGGCTCAGGACTTCAAAGCAGTTCCTCATGTTCTCCTTGATAATGGTGAATATATCCTGAAGATTATATCATGGAAATGCTTATTTGTTCCACTTTAATTTGACTTGGACATGAGCAGTTTGTGATCTATTCCACAATTAGCCTTAGCCATGTCATTATAATTGAGCTGTTCCATCTTTTTGTACTAATAATATAATCAATTTGAATTTGGTGTGCATCTTCAAGTAATATCCATGTATATAGACATTTTGATTGAAGACTCTGATGATAACTCATTGGATTGCCAGAAATGGATAAATCGTTTTCTGCTTCATTTCTCTTTCCTAGGCCATTCAGTCCAATTATATTTTTCTCCTTAGTATTTCCAACTTTTTTGGCACTCAAATCTCCAGCCTATTGCTTAAATATTCTATTGATTTTAGGTTGAACTTTATCACAAAACCCATCAGCCTCCTCGTCTTCTGCTTCAGTGGTTGCTGTCTGAATTTGATAATCATATTAACAAGTTGTCCACAAAGTCCAGTGGATATAACATAATTATATATATATAACATATAATATAATTGTTGACTTATTGTACTCAAGTGCTATCTTTGATATATCTTTCCTGACTATGAAAGCATTATTTTTATGTATTTACATGTTCAGTTTTTGGCAGCTTTTTCACATTTCAGAGCAGTAAACAGTATGGCCTGATAATTGAAACTCTACAGTTCTAGTCCATTTCAGCTGGTGGCTAAAATATCAGTACATGTACCATAATTACTCTGTATCTCAGAAATGTATTCTTGATGCTTGCTGTAGAGGTAAGCAAATGTTATATTCTTATTTTTAAAATGATCTTTCAAATGTTATTAACCAACTTCAGTATATAAAATCAGATTAACAACTTTAAGATGCAATTTTTATGCCTGGAATAGAGCTGTAGGTTTGTAAAAGTGAAGGAATGCCAATTTCTTCCTTATGAACTATACAAATGAATTATTGAAAAAGCATATAACTATTAACATTATGGGGTGAAAGAAAAGGCAGTTTGCTAACTTTACTATTCATTTTCTTTTTGGCATAAAATTATCACTTGTTAATTACTTCTTTTAGTCTAAATCTTCATAGTTAAGCCAAACTGTCAAAATACAAGTAATAACTTGTACATATGTTAAAAAGGAAAACTGTCAGAGCAAATTTATTTCAAGAAACAGTCATTACTTTCGTGATTATTTTAAAGACTTTTACATGCTACACATTCCCTTAATGGCTATGGGTAGCATTAAATGCACAATAAAGCAGCATTCAGAAAAAAGCTGGTTTTATTCCTTAAAATGCAGCACATTAGTCCAGCAGCAACAGGAACGACTAAATCTTTTTGAATTATCTCATTGCACAGAATATAATTTACTTTGGCAACACTCAATATGTTTCATTTCTACTTACTTTAAGTGAGGCAATTTCTCTTGGCTCATGGATATCAAGCTGGGTCTGTACGAGTTCAGTTATTTTTTCTTCAAGTTTCCCTACTTTGTTGTTCAGTTGAATCTTCTCAATGGAAAGGAAGTCTATTTTGGAATTAAGCTGCAAAGATACATTTCTCATCTCTTCCTCAGTTGCTTGCAATCTAGTTGTGGCTTTTTTTAACTGCTGCTCTTCTTCTTTCATTTCATTGGTTTGTTGCAAGATCTCAGAAAAAGATCGGTCGAAAATGTTAAGCCTTTGAAAGATGTCATCCATTTGGGTTTTGGTTTTGATGACAAAGTCTTGAAGGCCACGCCCAAGCTGGAGTAGTCCTGTGGCCAGCAAATGCACATCATCAGACATAGCAAATCTTGACTTAGGCTCAGGAGTTGCTGATTCCAAGTGATGACTGTCTAGTCTACCTGAAATTACTAGAGAAATCATAAAGACCAATACTAGAATAATTTTCATGTTCTTTCTGCTTATTCTAGTTCAGAAAAGAAATGTCTCCCTTTGCTATTTGTCTTTCTCTGGGAGAGTTCTAGTATGCCTATAAATACATATAGCATGTTCAGTCCTAAAAAAAAATCAAGTTGAGGTAGTTGATAATTAAACCTGAATGAATGTAACCTGTGTCCTGTTTAGGCTCTTTGAGCCCATCTGATGAACATTTCCTGATAGCAAATGTTATACTAAGAGTAAATAAGGCTTACCTTTAAAGATGACTTGGAACGTTCAATTGATATAGAACTTGGCAACTTGAGTGTGGCTGTCAGTTTATGTGGCACACATATTGTGCCAACTGTGCTATTTTAACTTTGAAAGCTTTGAGCAATTTGGAATAACTGATACAGACCTTGCCATGTCCAGTCATTTATTGTCACACATGCGGTTCAAGGTGTACAACAGAGGTCTTTCTTTTAAATCTACCCTAAGCATATAAGATGGTAGTCATGAAGGACAGGAGCAGTGACCCACATGTTTGGGATATATAATTAGTGAGGATCTTCAAACCCTATTTTTGCTTCAGTATGGATATAATTGTTGCTTTATTATTTTGACTGGCCCAAGTCATCTATTATTCAGCAAATGAAAGTTAATAAAGCTGTCTAGCACATTTGAAAAAAACAGTGAGATCTGGCTTTTGTTAATGTTATATGAGAAATGTGTACTTCAAACAACAGAACTGGCAATTTTTCCAAGAAAGATGGAAACTTCACAAGGAGGTTTTTTTAGTATAAATTTTGCCCTCTGATTTGAAATTCTAGGAGATTTTCAGTGTGCTCCATACCATTCTCTCCCAGAAACCCCAATACTCACTGTAACATTCTATCTCTGTAGCTTTTTAAGCCAATGCATGAATATTGAATGTAAAGATTACTAAACTTCCAGCCTAATTTAGGAAGAGCAAATTTACTCTGTTTTGATATGAAGTAGCCACTATGTTTATGATTGGTTGATTTGTATACTGTACATATTGTGGAATAAAATAATTCCCAGAAAAGGCATGAATCAAAAGCTTAACTACGGAGAAAATATTATTATAATAAATAGATGTTTATAATGGTTTCAAGAAATAAGGAGAGGGCTATGTCATCTTTGTTGTAGATTTAAATTTGAGTGTTAATTTAAGGGAATCACAGCTTCATAAAATGAGTGTAATTCTGTCACTGCCAGCTTTTATCAAGGGTGGTCAATTTTTATCCTTCTCTTTTCCCCATTCAGCAGATACCTGGAAACAGAACCAAAGAATAAATCAAAGTTAGCTATGCTTAGTTCACATTGAAATCAATAAGAATTAAGTTATCCCTAATTTACCCCATTGATTTCATGGGATCCTAATCAGTTAACTAATTACAGGCTTATGTGTCAGCTAACTTTTATTTGTCCCTGCAGCTTTTTATTATCTCTGGCTTAGTAGTTTCCATCTCCTATTATTTGATGCATGGTTGTATAATTCATCAACCACAGACAACTCAGATAACCTAGTCACTATGTAATGTTTATACTTTTCTCCTTTTTTTGTAGAAATCTTCTATATGTTTATCCACAAAGCCTTAACTTTGCCAATCGTCAAGGATCTGCTCGGAATATTACTGTAAAAGTACAGTTTATGTTTGGAGAGGATCCAAGCAATGCAATGCCGGTATGTGATGTGTGTGTGTGTGTGTGATCCATTTTGATTTTGATGGTGTAAATTATCTATTCTGTGTTTTGTACTCGATGCACATCAAAATGTGCTATACCAGCCTGCACTCCTGCTGGGACAGAATCAGACTGAATCACTGGTTTCTCAGACTTTTTAGTTATTCGAGAATTTGTTTCTTTGAACTTTCTTTTGTTTTTAATCCTTTGTGTTGTTTTAACATCTGCTCAGTGGCATTTCTGCACTTTCCCGCTTGTAACTTAACAGGGTTAACTTGCTGAAACGTTTGTGATCCAAGTTTTATCTGATTTTGGTTTTACTATTTATGGTATCTGCACCCCTTGTAAGCCACCTTGACTCACTTGGTGACTAAATGAGTAATAATTACATACTTTTGCACACAGCTCACCACGAAATATGCAGCAGATATAAAAAATCTAGTTTCTTTTGAAATACTAATAACTATTTTTGCAGCCAAATATTTTTATTTTTAACAAGTCAGTATTTAAACAAAATCATATTTATCAAGGTTATAAATATATGCCACATAAATAGGTATCTTGATATTCATTTTTGACTTAGTAAAATTTCCAGTTCTGAAGAATAAAGAATGTTTTTTCGAAAATACATTTGATCATTTATTTTTATAGGTAATCTCTGGAAAATCTAGCTGTGCTGAATTTTCAAAAGAAGCTTATACAGCTGTTGTTTACCATAACAGGTAAAAAGCAGAAACTTTCTGAAAAGCAATATTTTATTTTACTCGACACTGTGTATAATATTGTGAGATCAGAAATAAAACATCCTCTGCACTCATATGTTACAAAGATGATCTTAGGATAAGAAGAATTTCATACTTTTGATTATAATGAAGCAGAGATTCTGCAGTTGTCTAGCCATGAGCATGCAAATACAGATAGTCCTTGCATTACAATGGCAATTAGGACTGGAATTTCTGTTGCTAAGGGATGCAGTTGTAAAGCCTGATGCCACGTGATTACCTCACTTAATGACTGCAATTCCAGTAATCCTGATTGCCTTTGTTAACCATATCCCACTGGTCATTAGCTAAGGTCCCATCCCAAGCCAAGCCATTCCTGAATTGGTTCCTCCCAACCTTAAGTTTTGGTAAGGTAAGGGACTACCTCCTCTTCAACTCCACCCACCCTCCTATTTCCCCCAGATCTCTGCCCTTTTGGCTGCCTTGCATTCTGCCATCTTTGCTGGCTTTGCCACCTTCTGTTCCGTGGCCCTGTCTCCTTGCCAATCTTGCTGTCCATGTATGACCTTTGCCATCTTCCTCCGGTTATTGATAAGGCACGGTCAGCCTGGTCTTTGCAGGACAGCTGCTGGCAGCTCCAGGCCTTCTTCCAGAAATTGTGCCCATCTCACATCCAAATTGCATTTCGCTTTTTAGAAGGCAGAGGCACGAAAGAAGGTCCTAGATGTACCAGTATGAAAGAAGGGCTCAGCTAAAAGTCTTTGGCATTGATGCTGCTAGACAGTGGTGAAATGTAAAATTTGTTACTACCTGTTCTGTGGGCGTGGCTTGGTGGGGGTAATGTGACTGGGTGGGCGTGGCCAACTTTTTTTTTTAACTTTTAAAAGCTTTTTTTTCTACAACCTCTTTGGCCGAAGAGGTTGCAGAAAAAATGCTTTTAAAAGCCTCTGACGATCAGGCAACTCAGCGCGTCAGAGGCTTTTAAAAGCATTTTTTTCATACAACCACCCACCGCCATCGCTACCGGGCAATCCGGTCTGAACCGGGAGCATTTCACCCCTGCTGCTAGAGTATTCTTATGTGTATTTGCCTTCCAAAACCTGTTGAGAAGGCCACGTGATAAGGCCATGTGGGATTCGGACAAGGGAAGAAGGTCTAGCATAGCCAGGAGCTGCCTTGCAAAAGGCCAGTGCAGGCACACCTTGTCAAAAATGACTGAAAAAGATAATGAAAGTCAGTTGGAGGCTGCAAGGGTAGCAGGACATGGGAGGACCAGTGAGTGTAGGCTGGCAGGGTCAACAGACCACAGGGTGTCCAAAAGAGCAGAGATGTGGAAGAGCTAGGCTGATGGAGGGAACTGAGGTGCCTCTGCAGGCAGCAAACTACCAAGCCCCTGAATTTTGATCATGTGGCCATGGGAATGATGCAATGGTTGTAATTTTGAGGACCAAGCATAGCTACCCTGTAACTTTGAATAGTTGCTGAAAAAATTGTTGTAATGTGAGGACTAACTACATGTATCTGATCCCTAGCATCTTGTTCATACCCTTTTGCCTTTCATAATTCCATAATTATGATTGTCTGATTTGCTGAAATTATGGTTATGAAAGGTTACATTTTCTGCATATATGATATCACATGAAAAGGAAAAGAAGCATTTTTGTCCCTTTGCACATGATTAGGAGAACATTTATTGGTAGAACAAATCAATGAAATATTTATTTATGTGAGCAAAAGCTGGAGAATAATCTAGGAGTGAACCTATCATCTTGTAGTATTGACTACATCTAAAAGCCTTGCAGTATCTTATGAGATAGGGAGTGTTAACTAACTAAACAGAAATGTAGATGAAAATGTATCATCCTATAGAAAAAATAAAAATCTTAAAATAGGAAATTATCCCAGGAAATCTTTCTTTTGACATTTTATCTGAAAATTTTCTCTTTAACTAATGCAATGCAATAATTGAAAACTGGGAGAAGGAGCCTAAGCAATTAAAACTACAATCCTTAGCTCCTTGAAAGGGTCTTCCAGGGACCACAAGATTTTCTGGATTTCCCTCCTAGGTCAGAGAGCATTCTATCCTCAGAGAGGGAGAACTACCAAGATTAGGTTTGTTTCACAGGAAAGTTTTTGTTTGGAAAGAATCCCAAAGAGGCCATATGATCTACCAGGAAGAGCTTTGGCTCAGAAGCTATTGTAAATAATCTCTAAAACTGCCTTCAGTGAGAGGATATCAATTGTAGTGGTGATTGGGGGATTGCAGAATGCCGCGTGTAACTTTATGAGCATGACTTTGGAATTGTTGGCAATTTGTCTGTTGCAATCCCAAAAGTGCTTTTTCGAAAGGCAACTGGACTTTGTTTTTCCTTAAAGACATTTTGCTTCTCAACCAAGAAGCTACTTCAGTTCTGACTGAGCAGAACTGAAGAAACTTCTTGGATGAAAAACGAAACGTCTTCAAGGAAAAACAAAGTCCAGTTGCCTTTCAAAAAAGCACCTTTGGGACAACCATGACCCAAAGGATGAGTGAGAATCTCCATAGACATTTGTCTGCTGCAGCTTCCAAAGCTGTCCTCCAAAGAGGATATAGGGCTGCTTTATAAACCAATCAAACTTAAGCATTTTGTTATAGATAAAAATCTCTATTTACCTCAAAACAGATCTCCTGATTTCCATGAAGAAATCAAGATCAAGCTTCCTGCTACTCTAACGGACCACCA